ATTGAAGGAAAGAAAATATTAAAACAAAACAAAAGGAAGATAAAATAAAACAATGAATGTAAAAAAATTTAAGGAAAATTCAAAGGAGAATAAAAAAAAATAAAATAAATAATTAATAAAACAAAATAACGAAAAGTATATTGAAGTAAAATTTAATAAAATAAAAAGCAAAAAAAAATAAAATAAAAGTAAACAATTCAAGTCCATAGGAAAAGGAATAAAATAAATAATTATAAACAAGAAAGAAAGAAAGAAAAAAGAAAGATAGAAAGAAGGCAAAAAAAAAAAAAAAAAAGGAAAAAAGCAAAAAGAGAAGGAAAATACTAAAAGAAAAGAAAACGAAGATAAAAGAAAACAATGAATGTAAACAATTTAAGGAAAAATTCAGAAGGGATATAAGAAAATAAAATAAATAAATTAACAAAGAAAGAAACACATTTACGCACACGTACAAATACAGATTAAACAGCACAACATATTACAAAAACTAACTATTCATAATAGTTTATGAAAACTGAAAGTAGTTAGGCATTAGCCAATTTACAATTAATGATGCTTCGAAAACCACACAAATTGTCAGAAATGAATAAAATACTCTTAAGACAGAACTTTCGATGGTTTTTAATCAAACACACACACACACACACACACACACACACATATATATATATATATATATATATATATGAATCCATTTTTACTAACGGATGTTAGATTTCATTGAAAAATACATCCCTACCCACTACCAAAATGTAACTGATACATTAAAATATAGACATATTGAACACCGAGACACCCCTCGTCTAGTAAAATGGATTCATCTGTAACCTTGGAAACATGAATTATGATTTTAGCTGTGTCTTTAAAACCCAGTAATTTTAAAAGTTATTCCAAAATTCGCTTGAGGAGGAAATGGAACTAATGTCTTTAATTTAATTACAAAATTAAAGTCGGGGCTTTTAGCTTCCATTTTTGAAACATAGTTAGAACTGTGTAGCGGAAAAAAACATTTTAAATCAATTAATTTATAATATTAATGCTCTGTAAATTTACATTGAGCACTATTTTGTAAAAATAAAAATATCTATAAGAACACTGGATTATATATCTTACTGTTCTTTCTTTTTATTTATATATGCATATATATATATATATATATATATATATATATATATATATATATATATATATATGTCACGCTTTCATGCGTAATTTAGTTTCGTCTGTTAAGTATTGAGTCTATTTGTGACATCTTTATATATATATATATATATATATATGTGTGTGTGTGTGTGTGCGTGTTTGTGTGCGCGCGTGTGTATGTGTGTGTGCGTGCGTGTGAATACGTGAATTACGTAGACTGATACAGTTTTTCTCTTTATTTCATATAAGGAATTTATGAGATCTATATAAAATTGTTAATTGTAATAATGAAAAATAAATGTTTCAAGCGTAAAACAAATAACAATTTATTTCATCGGAGAAGTTCGGTTATGCCCAGACATTTTAAATTTTAAAAAAATAATTATATGTCTGGTCAATCGTAGGAAATCATGGTTCTTCCATTTCTTGTTGCCTTCTTAACGATTTTGAATTCAAAGTTATCTTTTTCCTAGACTAACTGCCATACAAGGCTACACAGCTTTACTCTACTAGCACTGCTGTAAGAAGAGTTGATAGATTCACGCTTTTACTAATAACATGAGAATGAAAATAAATAAAACAGACTTATCTGGAATTTGAACTAGGCTTGCCGATTCAGCGTTCCGCGCCAGTAACTATTTCGCCACCTGCCCATACAATTTTAATCTTATTCATCTTAAAATAACTACTTATGAAAAAGTTAATTAAATATTTTATGACTAATACAACATAATCATTGTAAAATATACATCTATGACTGTCCCATATTAATCATTACATTTACTATGTGAAATGTATACGCAAATGCCGTTATTGGACAGAAGTAATATTAAGTCTCAGTTAATGTAAAAGGCCTATGTACGCGTATTTTGTCTGTCTATCTATTACAGTCTGTTATCTATCTATCTATCTATCTATCTATCTATCTATCTATCACACACTGTAAACACGCAGAAACACGTATACAGATATACTTATATAGACATACAAATAAATAGACTGATGACTTTTTCCGATATTTTCTAGTAGTGCCTTTTCTGCTACATATTTCTCTTTCTTTCGTTTTTTTTTAATAAAATCTCAACCGCAAAGAAGTGGAAAATCTTGCCAAAGCATTAAACAGTCAGCATGAACTATTTTACGTGTGTTTGGGTCAGCGCTAAAGACACACTCTACAGGGATCAGCAAAAGGGCATTTCGTCTGCTAGAAAGGTTAAAAAGGTTGCATTATCCCGCCGTACCACAGTGCATAGGCCAGTCACGTGACATTTCCAAATACGGCATCGTGTTACGTTGCTTAATAGTTTAATGGTAGATTTGAATCCTTCTTTTGCCAGAAGCTATGGGATCTGAACCCTAATCTTTTGCCGAGCCTCCTGGGAGGAAAAATTCGCCACACAACAAAGAAATTTGATCAGTAAATGAGTCCGACACAAGGAAACTTAGTCGTGGTCACAGCAGAGGTCATCCCATCTCTTTTAATATCAATAGATACTGACAGTAATTAGACAACGTACTCCGATTGATTCTTTTGTTCAGGGAGACAATTCCGGGACAGCTCTCTGTAAACGCCTATCTCCTTCGCTCTTTTTCTTTGTCTTCCTTCTTCCCACAGGCGATATTTCGACTTAACAGCGAAACAATACCCTTTCCAGGAGATAAAAGAAATAAGAAGAAAAGAACGAAAAGGAGAAAGAATTGAATGAAAATAAACTTAATCTAGGAAATCGGATAATTACCTCACTTCCTAATTACTACTAACACAATCAAGATTATGTGTTTCGTTTAAAAACAAACAATGTTTGGTTTCATCTGGATGACGTGTTAGTTATAACAAATGATGTCACAAACAAACAATGGAAAAGACAAACACGCATGCGCGTAGCTGCACACATACGTTATGTAGATACGTTGGGCACCATTCGTAGAGCAATAGTAGGCGATATACTTTCATATAAAAAATTTCTTTACTTGATGCCTCATTAACATATCCTTGTAGCAAACTAAACTAAGTTTAGTAAATCAAAATCTTCTTAGATTGAGTACCTTCTGTGGGATGATGATAAAACATGATTTCTCAGGTCATTGATAGTTTATTGATTTCGATCTTCACTGATCGCTCTAATGTTGTAACCTTGCACAAGATTTAGATAAGTTTAGTAAATAACTATTATAAATTTAATATTATTAACATTATTCAGAATGCTGCTATAACAATAATGATGTAAAACAATCAATATAGAAGAAATCCAAACAAGAAAAATTTTAAATATGCACGTTAAAATACCTATTTCATGAGTTTCTTTTAATATTAAAGAAGAAAAAAAAAGCAAACAGATTACATATGGCAATTTGGGTGCATTCATGAAACGATGGTTGGCGAGCTCATCTGAAAAAAGATTGATTCCGATTGAAGGATTGGATGTTAGAACAGAGTTAGAACAGACAAAGCTTGTAAAATATACATATGTTGTGCGCCTTCCGAAGGTTGATAGTAAGCGATTTGGTAACGCAGGCAATTAATAGTATGGATGTTACCAATAATATTGTTGTCCTGTTCTAGATTAATAAATACCTGATAGATGTGTCAGTAGCTTAAATGTTCTTGGCACGGAAATTAGAATCACGTTCAAATCCTAATCTAGTCTGTAGCGTTAACTTTCGCACAAAATACCTTTGGAAAAAACAGGAATCTATCTCCTTTTCCCCATTTATGGGTTAAATAGCATAGTGGAATGGATTCTAGAGATTTGTTTGGCAGCCAGGCAAACACTCTAAATTCAAAACTGTCGAGAAGGTTTTGTGAATTCTGTCTACAATCTTTCCCATGAAGTGATGGCAATTGACAGATAATAAAGAAAAATAATAAGTAGAGAGACATTAAAGCTTACATCCTGAAGGGAGATAGTCTAAAAAAGTATGTATATTAAAGCATATTTTCTAAATCGATGATCAGAAGGTGTGCCTCATGACATTACGACTAAGTTTACTCTTTTGATTGTCGCCTTGTACCATAATATGATAAACTAAGTAAATATATAATATTTTTTCAGTTGAACAGAGAAAGAGACATAAATGGAAAAGTCAGAATGAGAAAAAGAGACAAACTGTCGAACAATGTACGCACTATACTACGTCTACTGAAATACGAGTATTTTAAGTAATAAAAATTTGACGGCTTAATAAATAAAACATCCATCACTTTTATATATATATATATATATATATATATATATATATATATATATATAGGGAGAGAGAGGGGGAGACAGAGAGAGAAAGAGAGAAAGAAGATATTATTTCACAGCTATCATTGATTAAATTTATTGCAATTATTACTAGTGCTAATAATAGTGATATCTCCAAGTGTAAGTAGAATGAAGAGAAATCTGTCATTTTGAGGACTTTGTAAATTAATCACTCATTTAATGCAAGTAAAACTTGACATTGCTAACATGTTTGAACTGACTGAACTATAAACTGACTAACTAAAAAGATTACAGATTTTTGTGGTTACTAAGAAGTTATAAGTTATAGAAGAGTATGCTTGTCAAAGTATTGACTCGACCAATCATTTTTCTGGCAAGTAAACGCTAGAGACAATGAAACATACAATGTTAACAAATATTTTCGATCGTTACCAAGTAATTATCGCGATGCATCCGAGAATAATTGAAACATTTCAAATTTGAATCGCGGTGGCGACACATACTCGTCAATTAAAATCATGTGTTCATCACCTTTACAATCTCATAAAAGTTTGATATTGTGTTGAGTTCCAGCAAGGCAGCACCCCGTTAGATACATTTAGAAAAGTCAACTGATGGGGATCCTGGCATCTAACCCTGAAATGGTTC